CCCCCCCACCGCACACACACACACACCGAGAACATTTGTCTGCCTGATAACCCAATGACCTCATGCCGGAATCAATATTCGTGGGCTCTATTGGATGAACCGTTTGCTCCAATATGTGACACACGCACACACACACAGGTACCGGTAATAATATGAGAATAACGCACACATAAACGCACAAGGTCAACTGCTGACCCAGTGCCTAATCCCGTGCCAACCGATTCGAATGCGTGCTCATTAGCAAACACACGCAAGAGGATTCCGTCGTCGTCGCTTCGGTACACAGTGGTAAAGAAACCAGTTTGGACGGCGACTGCCGGTACACACACACACACAATGCGATACTCACAGGGACACAACCATTAGGAAATGATAGGGGTTGTACCTCAGTTGTAGTTGTATACAAATGAATTTGACTTCAGTTTAAGTCTTCCGGTGTCGGTAATCACTCGGTAGTTACGAGTTTGAACCCCACGACCACGGCAAAATAATTGCCTTGCTTTGTCTTCCAGTCAGCGCCAGAACAGCCTGATCCGCTCCCGTTTCCGGAGAGCTGACGCTATAATAGTATTCAATGGAAGGGGGAATATATTATTATTATTGTTTAAATATAAGCTGTCGGGGAGAACCAGTCCTCTTGCGTTGTTAGGTTAATGGTTGCTTCGCGCAGAATTCAAACAAACGCGTTTCTCTTTGCTCACAGAAGGACAATGAACTGTTAACCTGTGATACATACAACGCGTGTGTATTGTATTGTATTGCATTGTATAATTTTTCCAGGCACCGAAGCTTACAGTATTTCAGTTGGAAACCGAACATGCCAATCGTCACACGGAACATATATAACAACGAAAAAGATGTTTGCGCACAACACGAGAACATTTCGTAGTTCAAGTGCGTGACAAAGTTCACGTGCTACCCTCTTTTGTTTATGAGTAGACGTGTAAAATAGGGTCTAAAATAGGGTCTAATAAATTCCGGGAACCGGTTTGTACGACATGGCATTTTGCGGAATTGCAAATCTGTGTGTGATGGGGGAGGAGGTGAATGACAACGTGTCAGTTTTATGTGCAATTGTTGGACAGGATCTGTGAGAATTCACACCGCAAATGTGACGCAAGAACTTGTATAAAACCCTGAAACTTTTCCCAGTTAACTCGTTCACAGGAATCGAAGAACTGCGGCTAATAATAGTCAGATTCGGTGAAAGTCATCCAAGGAAAGTGGTGTTCGTCCGGGTTCCCTCTCTCTTCCTCTCCTTTTCTATGTAACTTTCTTCTGCATTTGGTTATGGAAACAGCCCTGTCCTCGTGCGAGGATAGTGGCATCGATTTGCTCCCACATGGTAGACTGCCTGATCTCGAGTTTGCAGACGCCATTGTGCGCCAACGTATCCATGTTCGGTATGCGTTTTGCACTTTCAAAGTGTAAAATGTTATTACAAGACTGGGTTGGTCTAGTACCCAATCTCACTCTAACTGTGGAAGTAATAGAGGAAGTGATACCTGGCGGACGAATCACGGATGAACTATTAGCTCGCATACAGGAGGCTCGGTGGGCATTTGCCAACTTGATACATATGTGGAGTCGTCGCGACATTTGGCTATCTGTAAAGGGTCGAGTGTATGCCGCGGAAGTTCGGCCAGTTCTGCTATACGACACAGAAACCTGACCACTAAGAAAACAGGATAAAGATAGACAGTCGGTGTTTGAACACCGTTGTCGACGCAATATTACACGAATCTGGTGCGGCAGCCGGACGAACAATGCTGAGGTTAGGTTCAGAGTTTTGGTAGTCACGGTCGCCCACTGGCGCAAGTGATCGACCTCCATAGATTACGCTGGTTGGGGCATGTGTTACGCATATCACCAAATAGGTTACCACGGCACTCGATGTTTGCTGAGGTCGGTAGTCGTTGGAAAAAATATAAGGGTTGCCAAAATAAAACCTGGCACGAGGGTATGAAAACCCTAACCAGGAGACTGAATCACATAGAGTCCCTAGCTTGGGACCTCGGGATGATCGTATCCGATGGTTAGAGACACTGAGTGATACGGCTGAGTTTTGTAAACAGTGACTTTCGTGACTTTCTTTGCAACATGAGCCCATTGAAATTCTCCATTTTCTATTTGACTCCGCTTTCCTGTCTCTCTCCTACTGTTCATCCAAATGGGCAGCCAAAAGACAGCAAACAAAACCGGCACACGAAATTACATGTTTAATGGTTGTTCAAACTGAAACTATGTTTTATTTCTGTGCAATGACGAATAAATTATTGGGACGACTACGAATTAATATCCGGTATAAAACACCGCAATTCAAATGTGCATACGTGTATGCACAGCAGTATATGTACAGCAAAACGTGAAAAAAGCTTTATGTTCTCGATGAACTAGCAAAAACCCACACGGTTACTAGTTGATTGCTGCCTCGTTGTTAGCATGCTTGATAAAAGGAATGTGTAGCCTGAAGGGTCGGATTTATGATCACCGGATAACAGCTAAGTGCAACGGAATTACTCTACCGGAGACCGGAGCGAGAAGGAGTTGCGAGCTGAACGACAGCACGTAATTGCAAAGTGTTTTGTTTCCGAAGTAGATTATCGCGAAGAAGTTCCTCCGTGGAGTTTCCAATAGACTAATCGTTGCTGTAACTGATGCACCCAAAGCCAATAAATCACTTCATTCCCCCCGATACTAATTAGCACGGAAGTGACTTGGA